GAACAATTTTTTGGGTTTTCCATGGTGAATTTTTACTACAAGCTGGCTAAACCATAACAAATTCATATCTTGTGAAATGTTTTATTTATAAGCCTAAGATTCTCAGAGTGAGTAGGCAATATCTAACCCCACAAATGGTGAAAGTTTCACACTTCTAACTGATCAAGATCGTGAGTTATTGATTAATTATTATTAATGACATTTTCAGTAATTAACTCGTATCTCGGTCAAAAAGGCGCATGAGCACAAACCAACTTGGGGTTTTTCACTATTCCGTACATGATGAGAACAGTCGGAGTCGAAAAGCGATTTATCATCTCGAAAGGTTCCCTCGTGTGATGCCCTTTTGGTGGTAGAAGGATGCTGTTTTGCTTCTATACTCGTCTTTGTTTTATGGCTTGGGTCTAACCTGTTTCTCTTTATTATTATAGCAGCAGTCTCAAATAACCCGAAAATAGCGACTTCACAAAATTCCGCCGCAACAAAATTGACTAATTACGATACGAATCTTGACAATATACCGACAAGTGACTGTTCGTTATCGTCATAGTTTTTTTTCTCACTTTTTATTTTTTTTTGATAATCCTTTTCTTCTCTAGTTCTGCCAAGAGCTGACGATAATTTGAATAATAAAACTCAGAGTCAAAATGTTCCTACGTCAAGCACACGTCTAACTTCACGTATGTCTTGAACTTCAGAAGGTTCGAGGTCCTGTTGCCTTGTTTCCTTTCTTTCTTTTAGTTCTTCACATGTCTTCGAATAAACGTGTTATAAAACGAAAGCCACTAAATCAAGCACAAAAATCTTTAAACGATATATGCAGCTAAAGGGTATTTATATCATTTATTGATCTGTTACATTACTCGATAACCGTTGCACCGTAGCACCGTTCGAGAATGGATCCCTTGTCTCTATGATAGGGCACAAAGATGTCATTCAAAACCACTTCGTTACGATTTGCTTTTTATAGCAATGCAAAGACAAATGGAAGTACCAGCACTGGGGGCAAATTTGTTCAATATGTCGAATTACTCAGGTATTTTTGAGACATGAAAATTTTTATGCTCTTTAGTGGTACTCTCGTATTACTTTGTATCTCCACGTCTTCCATACTTCTACTGGAAATGTTTTTTTCTAGTTTCAATGGAAGCAACAAGTGGCAACGATGATAATGTTACTACTCAGTTTGTGATAATTAATCAACAAAATAAAGGCATACGCGTTCAAAGACAGAAAAGTAAAATAAAAATAAAAATAACTGAAATTTTTCTGTTTAGAAAATATTGATTCTAATGGAAAAATGGATGATCAACAACAAAAAACGCCAGAATATTTGATTAATGGAAGTGCATCAACAGGTAAGACAATACAGTTCTTTCTTTTCTTTCGACGGCCGCTTTCTTTTCATTCCTTTTAGTCATTCCAAAGTTAACGCAAGATGTATTGAATTCAAGTGAAAAAACCAAAACAGCGGATCGAGCGAGTGGCTTATCTATCCCTGTTGATGTAGTTTCAATAATGCCTGCTGCACAACTTGATCAAGAAGAGGAGCCTGTTATAGAAGACAATCAAGTGAGAAAAGAAGGAACGATAGCGAGTAAGCCGAAAATAGTTAGAGAAGAGCACTCTTTAGTTCTTGTACTGACAGTACACTGTTTTCTTCCTTGCCAGACGTTGAAAGATCGTAGATAGATATTCTGAATGATTTAATAAAGAAGAAAAAGGTGTTTGTTCCTTTTCAGCTGCACCGTTTTATATAATCACGTTAGACGAGCGAAAAACATTAGAAAAACTTAAAAAAGTTAAAACAGCTATTTTATTGTGCAATAAATTGGTGGTTTCGACCAAGTCGGATTTGATCGCGCTTTCAACTCATTGCGATGTAATTGTACGAGATAAAGCGATCGATCAATTAATTAATGAAAAATTGTTATTCAAATTAAACGATTGCTTTGTATCACGATCAAAAACAACTGGAAAACTAAGTTTTGAACCTGGCTACATCAAACAAATACCAAAAAGTTCAGGCTTAGTCGATAAAACAGAAGTTAGTTTGCCATTGTAGAAATATATGATTAAACTTGACGATTATTTGCAAACTTGTATGAATATTGCGACAAAATCTAGATTGTTGCTGTCCAAGTCAGCTATTGACATTCTTGGCAATTGTAAATAAATTAGAATACGGCAATAAGCCGTATTCTAATTTATTTACAATTGCTGTTGATAAATGGCTACTACGAGAAGATCAACGTCTCGCGTCGTCATTGACGGATGAAGGTGCTTTTTCCTTTTTCTTATACACGTGGATGCCTTTCTACCTTTCTCTTGCCTACGATTCTTGTTCTCACAACACTCACACTAGTAAAACTGTTTCTTTTTTTCTAGCCGTGGACACTTTTCCTCAAGATAGGAAAAAGAAACGTGTTCTACTATCGAAGAATTTAGATCAACCCAAACGATTAAGAAAATCGCAGTCACCAGTATTAATAGAAGATTTGACACAAAATGACGGCGAAAACGGGAATACAGTGGCTTCAGTTAAAGAACTAACAGCACATCGACCACAGCGTGCAGCGGCTAAGATGGCGTTAAAAAATAGATAGACCCTTTTTCTTCTACTGTTATTGTTGTTTTCGACGTATACAGCAGTCAGAGGTTACGATTTTGAAAAAATTAATTTTTGTTTTTATTTTTTACTTTTACGATTTACCTTCTGTTTTCATAAAACATAATTTGTAAATTATAATTTTATTCAGTCTTTTATGAAACTATTTAAACTAGTTCGTGTTAATCGTCAGTCAATTTTATTGTTCCTCTAACTGAACTCTGTATCATAGTTTATTTATTTTGTGTTTGTACAGAATATTTCATTAGATTCAGTTTTTTGTTTTATTAGGAATAAAAAAACAGGGGTACAATACACGTAATTTCAGCATTGGAATACAAAAAAGTAAATTGACTGAAACGTGTATTAATGACAATACTTTTAAGCAACGTCGCGAGATGCGAATAACTGAAAGACTATTGTTTCTTAAAACTAATTCAAACGATTTCAATAATAGCTTTTCATTTCAACAATATCTATAATTGGGAGAAGTGCCTATTGTTTTTCTTTAGACCATAAAAGCATGGATATAGATGAGTGTTCAGTCGATTCACTGATATTATTATCTTCAAGCGTTCAATTAACATCACATGTAAATGATAACTCTTCAACTGATAATTACAGTATGTTGAACAGATTCTATGCTGATTTCCGTATGCTTTATTTTACTTCCATTGTTGAGCTTTTATCTGAGCCGTGAAGGTTTTCCAGCATGTCTATTGAAGAAAATAATCTTAATCTTTAAGGTATAAATCAGGTGTTCCGCTGCATTCACCAGTTATAACATTGAATAACAGCACGAGCAGTGCCTGTTTTATGAATTTTTCTGTTGGTCGCTATTAATATTTCTGTTTCTATTGAGGTAACTCTCAGTCTGAAATGGAACAAATTCTTCAACTATTATTAACAAAAATGAATGGAAACCATATATGTTCAGCGCTCAAGCTGTACAATTATTTATTCGATTCCCAGGAAGATGTATACAGACTGGTTTGCGCTGGTATTAATAATTATTTTGAAACTGGCTGTGAAGCTGAAGATGTATTATTTGTATTGGATACCATAAATGGAAATGACGACCAAAAACAGCGATTTTATACAGCTACAACTGAAGAAATAATTGAATCATTTAATGCCAATAACGATATCGTAACATCAATGAAACTAGTAAATTTAATTCCCTTTACCACTGTATGTATTCAAGAAAAGTATAATTCTCAGCCATTGCCCACACATAAACTACACCAGATTGTTACATTAATGCAACGTGATTTTTCGTCTTCGTGCGGTATATATTATTCTACATGCAATGAATGTAAAACGCGTTATTTTCCAACATTTTATGAATTAAACGGCTCAAAAATGAAATTTATTACAATTGACTCGATTCGAAAAAAAAACGCAATGTACTTTGGAGGAAAAACTGCATATGAATATCTATTATTTCTTGAATTCGAGGCACAATTAGTACACAACTATGGAGCATTCAACGGTTTCTGTGATGCGCACAATTACAAACTTGAAATGCTCAATAGTCAGTCATCTTCATCACAAAAGACCACGAATGAAAGACACAAATTGGATCCCAAACTGTTTCAAATGAACTGGCTTACTTATCAACTCGGACGATTCGTTTTTATGTTAACGGATAATAATTATTGTCACATACCGTCATCATTTGATTCAAAAGTAGAGAAAGATCAGTATTTTTCGAAATATTTCGAAAGTTTTTATTCAATATTCGTCGGTTTCTGGTCGCGACATAAAGTGTTAACGGAAAAGGGATTAACAAAATGCAAAGTTGATACGTGTTCAAAAGTATTTATTTCTGACGGGCATCAAAAAGCTAATCGATCGGTTTGTGCATTTGATAATATTTGTGACATTAGTATTCCTGAATTTGGACCAATACTAGTCGGCTGTTGGCCCATGAAAGGAATAAAAAATGGTGAGTGAATCTACATACTTCAGTTGGCTTATAAAATACGGTACATTCTTGTTTCTATTACACACAAAACTTTGTTAGATAGAAAAGAAAAATCGACTAAAATAAAATGATTTTTTCTTCTAAGATTTTCATTCTTCGAATTTCCATTTTTCAATTTATTGAAATTTTCTTTACACTCATTTCTTTCGTTTCAGCTACCAAACAAGTCGATACACGGTATTGTCCAAATCATCAAACGGAACAACAACGAAAAGAAACATCGCAAGCGGACAGGAATTCAAACAAATTGATAAATATATCAAATGATGAAAAAAAACAAGCGCAAAAAATGACAGTAATATCACATGAAAATTTGAATGAAAGTTCGATGACAAATGAACCAAAAGTAGAAGACATTGAATGTGAGATATTTCGCAGTGATTATGAAACTCATCAAAAGCCTAGCTATGGATTTCTCACCTCATTCCATAATTGCAATGTTATTATTGGATTCGACGAATCAGCAAGAGCAGAGGGCAGTAAGTAACTATCGACGTCTACTACTACTTTCAATCGAAAACTGTATCGCCCGATCCTTTTCGATCAGTGCAATGTTATCCCAGCACCTACGAGGCACCTTGTCAGATGATTAAACGCATTTATTAGTTTTAGGTTTTTATGGTATTATTGGTACTAACTACGAGTCTGATATTAGTTTGTCCTCACGAGACCGTCTTAGATCGTTCACTAAGAATCAGATGTGTGAGGATCCCGTGTGATCTTTCAGCAAAACATATTTTCAAGGTACCTCATGATAGAACACTAACTTATTTGTTGGTTCTATTTCTACTAACCATCATATGAGTTAGTGTTCTATCATCTTGAAAATATGTTTAGCTGAAAGATCACACAACTGATTTTTAGTGAACGATGTAACAAGGTCTCGTGAGGACAAACTAATATCAGGCTCGTAGTCAGTACCAAAAATATCATAAAAAGCTAAAATTAATTAAAAATGGGTCCTCGTAGGTGCTGAGGTAGCCTGTCTTAGTAGTAATCAAATGTAATTTTTTACTATTTAGTGAGAAGAATCACCCGTCACTTACTTCGAATTAAAAAGTACGGTGAACTGCCGCCTGCCATGATGTATGACTGTGCATGCACACTTCGTTTGTTTTTCGATCGTCAGTACGGTTCTGAGTACTTCAAAATAACTCAGAATTCTACATTCTTAAAAGAAATGAAATTAGCAATAGATCGATTTCACCAACGTAATCATAAGAGAAAAATGTGTCAGACACAAATGAATGCTAATAATCCAGAATTTGGTGGAATATTTGATAATGTTGATAGTCAAGTGGTGGAACGCATGTTTTCATATCTTACTCATTTCAAATATTCGTTTCCTTCATATGGTTACCCGAAATCAGTCTTTTTCGATTTAATATTATTTCATTTGAAGAATTGCAAGACAACTGGGCTGTGGCCATTTCAGGAAAAACTTGGACTTCAAGTTATGCCAAGCATTCGATTGGATAATATTAAGTAGGCAGACGTAGGTTTCGTATGAAAGAACTCATGTGTACTCAATCTTTTGCTTCTGTTTTCGCAATTTCAGCTCAAACTGGTAAAGTCATCGGTTCATGCTTGACTTTTGATTAGGTAAGCTAAAAACAATTACATGTTACAAGTGAGCATAGTCTGATATATTTTTTGTTACTTGAACAGTTGAAAATAAACATAATTAATATGCTGCAAACGTCCAAGCGAAGCAAGAACTTTACCAGGTTGAACCGAAATTGCGAAAACAAAAGCAAAAGATTGAGTACACATGAGTATTTTCATACGAAACCTACGTCTGCCTAGTTAATATTATCCAAACGGATGCTTGGCATAAGTGGAAGTCCAAATTTTTCCTGAAATCGTCACAGCCCAGCTGACCTGCAATTCTTCAAATGAAACAATACTAAATCGAAAAAGACTGATTTCGGGTAACCCTACGAACGAAACGAATTTTTGAAATGAGTAAGATATGAAAACATGCGTCCCGCCACTTGACTATCAACATTATCAAATATTTCACCGAATTCTGGATTATTAGCATTCAATGGAAAAACAAAAGTGTACACGCAATCATATATCATGGCAGGCGACAGTTCACCGTACTTTTTAATTCGAAGTAAGTGACGGGTGATTCTTCTCACTAAATAGTAAAAACTACATTTGATTACTATTAAGACACGATACCTCAGCACCTACGAATCACCTTGTCAGACGATTAAACGCATTTTTAATTAATTTTAGCTCTTTCTGGTATTTTCGGCACTGACTGCGAGCCTGATATTAGTTTGTCCTCACGAGACCTTCTTAGATCGTTCACTAAAAATCAGATGTGTGAGGATCCCGTGTGATCTTTCAGCTAAACATACTTCCACGGTACTCCCTAATAGAACACTAACTTATTTGTTGGTTCTAAAACATCTACTATCTCTGTAGAAAATGTTTTAGCACCAACAAATCAAACGGTATGCATGCGTCTATCT